CAACTGGCAGAAAGCTTGTCTCTGTCCTGAAATCCAAATAACTGCTAAATGAAGAATGGTAGTTTCATGGACTGTGAAAGTATTAAAACCCATGCAATAAAGAGATCTCTGATTAACAAAACCTAAACACTTGGAAAGGATACAAGTCACAAAAGTCACACACAAAAACCCCAATTCTTTATACAGCAATCCTTCAGTTCCTTCATTTTCACCCAAACAAAATTAAAATGAGAACCTTCAGGCAAATTGCCATTAAATGAAAACTCTTAAAAGGAGAATGTACAATCTAATTATAGTGTAACAAATGTGTACCTTTCATCTACGAAGCTGGTACTCAAAATTATAATAGTCAATTATGATTATATAATCTATTAAAAAGAATAACCAAAGTGCTATAATGAAAAGTAAAAACCTACAAAAGAACATGAAAGACATCTCCAGTGGCTCAAAGTGGCGTAACAGTAGTACCCTATAAAATTTCCTTTCTCACATAGCCTGTATTTACACTATGCTGCAGAGACAGGGGTGCTGGCAGTCATTTCCTGTATTCTCAGGAATGCATTCTTTATGGCCAGTGCCCTCTGAATTATTTTTTATTATATCCCATGAATGCAGCTACCTGAAAATAAAAGGCATGCAGCTCATAACTAAATCAATACATTGCAGTTAAAAGAAGTACTTTTTTTTATTTTGCAGGCCATTCATATATTTGCAAAAAATCCTTCCTTCCTTCCTTCCTTCCTTCCTTCCTTCCTTCCTTCCTTCCTTCCTCCCTCCCTCCCTCCCTCCCTCCCTCCCTCCCTTCCTCCCTTCCCCCCTCCCTGTTTTTTTAATTACATAATGACACAATTAGAAAAAATAATATTAAATGCTAAAGCATGATCAAAGTTATGGAACAGTTTCAATTCTACAAATTAACAACTAGAGCAGGGCCTTTCAACCTGAAAAGATGAAACCAGGGGAGACATGAAAACTTTACAGTATCATGAATGTCAGAAAGATAACAAATAAAGAATCTGTCCACTAACTTTTTAAATACAAGAAGTTAGGGGCCTCAAATGAAACAAAGAATTTACTATATGTGTGGGTTAGTGGAGGGATTTTGTAACAGGATATGGTAGATAGTAAAGCCATTCAGACTCAAAAATTAATGAACAAATTAATTAAAGAAAAAATATTCAAGTATCTCTTGAACCAGTAGATACCACCAATGCCTTAGGGACTATCTGAACTGTGCCACTCTGGAAGCTCTGGGAATACTGTATGTTTGAATGTTGTACTGTATGAACTACCTTGTTCCTGCACTCTTCCCTAGACACCTGCTATCAACTGCTGTCAGAGACAGAAATCAAGTCAGCTGCTTCACTGCAAACGCTCCTTGTGTGAAAATTACAAACGTCCCCAACTCTAATGTGTTTCCTATAAATTTGATACAGTTTAAGGGTGATGCCTAGAGAGGCTACCTGGAACAGAAGCTAGACAGGGTTAAATGAATAAAGGAGGTATTTATTAGAAAGGCCTTCAAAGGATACACTTTGGGCAGTACAAGAGCCTGGCCATGGCTCTACCCAAGATGTCTATCGGTCTAAGATCGGTCGCGAGTTTTCACACTTTCATAAGTTTTGGTACACTTACATATTGGGGTTAATTGTCCAATTACAGCTTCAGGTTATGAATTCCCATCCTCCCAAACTGCTCTCCTCAATTCCTTGTTGTTTACACTTTTTGGGCCTGAACTGCAATGGTGCCCTTGGTTCTCTGTCTGGAAAAGGATTGTTTTGTCTGACTAAACTGAAGAGAACTTGAACAGAGTTATATACTATAGCAGTACAGAATCTGGAAAATATGAAAGCAAAAATATAAAGTATCAAGGGGAGCATTCTAAAAGTGGGAGGACTAAAATCAGGTATATTTGATCCATTCCCTCCACATTGTCTGTGATCATACAGTCTAAACCACAAAGCTCCATGTTGATTTAATGACTTATTGGTCAAGAATTTTCTCATTAATAATATCTATGCAATATTTGGAGTTTACCTTTGCTTAGCTTTCCATCTCTATCTAGTATTAAGAAGTCAAAATCTCTAATAATTCTGATTCCTGGTGTAATTGTTGTTAAAGATATCTCAGTTCATATTCAAAACCTGATCACAGGTAAGTGAAACCTCCCTCTGGTACTTTCATAGTAAAACCTCTCCCAAATATCCTTTAACAAAACAATTTTAATCACACTATATTCATTTAATTAATGTGAAATTTTTTTCTTTTCCATCTATAGACTATTATTAGTGCAAAGTAATATTTTTATTTCTGCCTTTTGAGAACTCTCACTTATGAGAACCTGATTTGTCTTCTATATACTTGTGTTTAATATGATACTCATTTGAATATTCAGTCAGCCTCAGACTCAGAAGTAAAATTTCCACAGACATACATCCATCAAAAACTGCCTACCAACAAAGACCTCCTAGGAACTTACAATAAGCAATATCATGTAAAAAAAGAATGGAAAATATGACTGTAGACAAACTGACATCTTCATCTACATGTGGGTTTTTTTATAAAGCTGAACTGTGTAGTGTTGCATGTCCTCCAACAATTCCCACAGGCCAATTACAGACATTAATAAGAATGAATATTTTAGCCTGAGAATTGCCATGTGAATGTATCAAATAAGTTGCAATGCTTTCTCTGACAGTGGCCTCAGCTGTGAGGAAAGCAAAATAACACTATTATTGATAAGAGGAAGGGTTTGGCATTGAAACTTTTCTGGAAAAAATATACCAAACCATGTCAGTTCCAGGAACTGTTCTGTCCTGCCCATCATGACACTTGTAATAAGGCTAAGTCCACTACAAGTTTTTGTTTACAGAACAATGCTGTGTTTATTTCATTTTGTTTTCAATTTTGTACATATTTCACTTTATATAAATATCTCTTCAATAAGCAAATAAGTTAACCAAAGCAACCACAAGATAGATCTGAAGCATCGTGGATCACTTGGAGTCAATCAGGCACTTTGACAAAATCTACCTAAGCCTAGATTCAACAAATACATAATGCAGATCCCAATGCAGGGTAGGTGTGTAAACCTGAGCCTGCTAATCTCACAGGGAAATACCCTATCACTCAATTACTAGAAAACATTCATGCTTTCAAAAGTAACATGTGAATTTCTGTGCAGCTTACACAGGTTTACCTTAAAAATCTTTCTTCGGAAATATTTGGGAATGCTCAAGCAGTGATTGCAATGATACACAGATGGGTGAATGTACATATTAGGCCTGATTTAGGCACCAGAGAAACTTTTCCTATTTTCTTTCTTTCTTTTTTTTCTTTCTTTTTTTTTTTTTTTTTTTTTTTTTTTTTTTTTTTTTTTTTTTTTTTTTTTTTTTTTTTTTTTTTTTTTTTAAGACACGTGAGTCCAGCCCACACAAGTCCAGAATTCTTAGTTTCTTATTGGGTAGATTGTGCTGCCTGAGGAAAATATTTTGCCAAAAATGCTTTTATATTCTCTAATTACTGTTACTGTCATGTTGGCTTTTTTTTCAGAAGTATCAGGCACTGTTTTCCATGCTTCAACACTTGTTCACAAAAACCTGAGTTACCACATTGTAAGTATATATATTGTTCATATCAATTTAGTTCAAAAATGTTAATAAGAAGACAGCGTATATATGAAAGACTGCAATATGTCTGAGACTGGTTTTTTTTCTCAGTAGCATGCCATAACTGTGGAATGCATCCAAATAACATTCAATTGGGAGAAATCTTATAACTGCAGGATGACTGTTATGGAGCAGTTAATCAACATACCTTTGTTTGCTTCACAGTGTTTGTTAATGTATGTTTTAATAGAGTATTAATCTTTTCCATGGAGTACTACATAAAAAAACCCTTTTGCTTTGCTTGATTGTACTACGCACAGATTAATTAATCAACATACTTCATTTTGACAAAGAATTGTACATATAAAGTAAAACGGAATAATGAAATTCGCACCATTATTTTCCAGTAGCTCAAAAATTTAATTAGAGGAGAAAAGAGTCTACTCTCTCCATCCACCATGTTTTTACAATGAAGATAACAGATTTTAATGTTGTTTAAAGTTGTATCAGGAGACACCTGGTCAGGAGTTACTTGTCCATTACCAAATGCCGATTCCCATTCCCAGCCTGTTTACTCAAAACAGGCTAGGATTTCCAATGGAGTTTACTAGAATTAAAAACTGGCTTATGCGGGTGGTGGTTTTGAAGGAATCCTCGATTGGGAACCGTCGGTTTCAAAGCGGAGTCTTAATGAAGCTCCTTGAGGCACTCCAGCCGTGCGGTAGCAAAAATGGGCCGGGGCTGGTGGCAGCGCCTTGGTTTTGTTTGCGGTTGTTATGGTTCGAACTGCGTCAGGAGTATGCCATGAGCGTGCAGATACTTGGCCACCTGCCTTAATTCTGGACCCTGGTTAATGCAGTAATTCCAGCGCTCTGGAGAGCCGGTGGATAACGCGAGCCCGAGGGCTCGGGCAGGCAGCGGGGGGATCACCGGCACCGGCGGCGGCAGCAGCGCCCCGGCACAGCGCCGGTGCCACCGCGGGCGCCGGGCACCCTCTCGCCCGACACCAGCCCTCCCTCCCCGCCGCTCCCGCTCGCCCGCAGAGCGCAGCCGGGAGGGGACCGGCCGCGGCTCCCGCGGGGCCCCGGCGGCCGCAGCTCGCACTGCGGCGGGCACGCTCCGGCAGCGCACGGCGGCAGGCGGGGCGGGGGGCACACGGCGCGGTGAGAGGGGCGCGGGGCGCGGCCGTCCCCCCGGGCCTGGCGGGGCCGCCCGGGGCGCGGCGGGGGCGGGCGGCGCCGCAGGAGGGCGGGAGCCGCCGCAGTGAGGCCGCGCGGGCGAGGCGGCGGCGGCCGTTGCCATGGCAGCGCTGCCCCGGGCCGGGGCCTGAGCGGAGGGGCGGGGGAGCCCCGGGCCGGGCCCGGCGGGGAGGGGAGGGGGTGAAAGCGGGCGGGCGGCGCCGCGGGGGTCGCCGCCGGGGGCAGCCCGCAGGCGGGTGTGAGGATGAGCCGCGGCGGGGGCCGAGGGCCGTGCTCCGAGCGCACAGGGAGGCTGCGGAGGTGAAGCCTCTGCTCCCTCGCCGGGCGGGATGGAGACTCTTGGCGCTGCAGAGGACGTGTTTTATGAGGAGGAGGAGGAGGAGGAGGAGGTGAACTGCTACGACTTTGAGCCTCTGCCGACGCTGCTGGAGGACGAGGTGAGTGAGGCAGGTGCGGGGATGGAGCCGCCGCCCTTGCGCTCACCTGCAGTGTAGCGGCCTCAGGGCCGCCCGCGGGCGGCGGCCGGGCCGGGGGCGCCCCGGGAGCGGCCGGGCCGCGGCCCCAGCGCCGCTCGCTTTGCGCTGCGCCCCGCGGAGCCGCCTGCCCCGCGGAGCCAGCCTGCGGGCTGGGCTTAGCCGCTTCCCGTGCGCCATCTCCACACTGCAGCAAAGTCATGGTCCTCGAGTGCCGGGTGTCTCGTCACTGCTGTCGTAGCCGTGGGGTAACGCTGCAGTCGGCAAGTGCGTGTCCTTGTCGCGCCCCATCAAGGGAAGTTTACATGGGCAGAATAATATCCCGAAGCTGCCAACCACTTTTTTGTGCAGCTGTATATTGCTGTCCTGTGCTAAAATGCCTTTGACACTGGGAAATAAAAAACAAAAATGTCAAACTGTTAAATCTATTTTTTCAGTTGTTTTGCCAAAAAACCTGTAGCTAAACCCAGTTCTTGTCATCACATTTCTCTGGCTCTGTTACTGGTTTTGCCCTTGCTTTTTGTTGCTCTTGCTCATCTTTATATCTTTCCACGTTAAGTGTGTTTCTTACCCTCATGTGAATGTTGGAGCAAAATATTTGGAGATTTCTTTCCTTTTTTTAAGTAAAGGTTTGGTGAACTATATGTGAGCTGCTCCTTCCTTGAAGCAAATCTTGCAAACTTTCTAACTTGCCATGTCAAGAATCCATGTGGAATCAGGAGTTAAACGCAATTTTGCAAAAGCAAAGCCCCTTTCAGTTTTCCTTTTCACCCATTGGCTTGGTAGTTTGGCTCTTCCACTGTCTGTAGTGTTCAGTGCTGTAGGCCCTCTCAGACTGGCCCATGAAGAATATTGGAGGAGGGTGGTAATGGCCTTATTTTTTACACATTGGCTGAAATACTTGGAGTATTTTCTTGGAATGGAGAAGGCTAAGGGTCAACTCTTCTGTACAAGAAAGAACCATTTTTCATACCTGCTCAATGTATACTTTGATTGTGGGTTTCCACAAGTCCCATCTATGTAGTTATTACAGAAGCATAAAGAGTTTCAGTATTTTTCTTAGGAGAATGAACATGACCTATCACCTGGTGATTAACTAAGTTAATAAAAAAGAGCTGCTTGAAGAGTATCAGAGAGCTTACTAAGGCAATCCAGTGTTACTCTTCTGATGTGATGGATGTAATGGATGGCATTTGCCACATTTTCTGTGATTCTGGTATAGTATGTTTGAAGTTTGTGTGAATTATCATGGCAAAAAGGTGTCAGAAGGCTGTGAGTGCTGTTGTACTGAACTCTGAGCTGCTTAGTCATTCAGTGGAGTCTGCTCTTCTCCTCATTGTACCAAGTATCAAGAATGATGCAGGTGGTTTTGTGCCAATATGTGAAGCAGGAATCTGCCTGAACTGAAGAGTAGAAAATGCTAAGGATAAGGGTGTGCTTCAATTTCCTCTCTTTACTAGAACTTTATTCATTTCATACTCCTTTATATTTTATTTCAAAATTTTTAAGAAATGGTCTGTGGCCAATTATTGTTTTATTCCTACGCTCTCTTAATTATCTCTGCTCAATGATATGCTACTGAACAGTTTTGTACTTGCTGAGGAAAATATAAGGGAAAGCTGAAAACTAATGTGAGCACTTAAGCCTGGTTACCTGACAGGTTTACTTTTTGTAGTTCTTAGTGTTAAAACCAGACACTTTCATATTAAAACCCAAGTGTCTTTTGCTGAAAGAGACAAAAAAGAGGCAGTAGCATCTCTGATATTTACCACATTTGAATGAAACAGCTTCCAGCTGAAGCAATTGCTCATCAGAAGCTTCAGTTTGCCAGAACCTCCTGTGTTAGAGTGTTAAAAGGATGTTATTTTCCACAGTGCTAACTTTTAGTCTGTGTTGCTTTGGGGATACAGGCTAATCAAATGCAAGTGTTAGTGTTTTCTATGCTTCACTCTCTACAAAGACCTTGCTTAACAGCAGCTTTCATAACTAAGGTCGAGGAGAATGATCATTTGGGAAATTCGTGGTTTCTCTGAAGTAAGTAATTTGCTGTCCTGGAGCACTGGAAATAGAAAGGCCTGCAATATGGTGGTGATGGTATTTTTCTTTTTTTATGGTAGTTTTATCTTCACCTAGCCATCCACTGCTGATGGAAACCATGGAACATTGATAGGACTTTTTTCCTTTTTCCTTTTTTTTACTTTTTCTGTATGACATAACTTTCTCATTCCTGGGAAGGAAGATGAACTAAGCTTATCTGACATTAGATCATTACCTTTCGTTTACTTCCCAAATAACCACAAGACAAAGATGTTTTATAGATTTGTGCTGTAGATATCATTGCTGATAATTATTACCTGCAGTGGAGTTCAGCCTCAAAGCTTAACTCAAAAGTTCTCTCAAGTCCTTACTGTGACTGGAATGTAATGCTGTCTTAAAGATTGCAGGTTTATTTTTTTTATGTACACTCTAAATTGAGCCTCTTATGTCATTATGCACAGATGAAACTCATATTTTGCATCTTGATTAGTGAATAATTCTTTTATTTTTCTGTTGTGGCAAATGCTATCGTGTCACCTAGCTGGAGGATTCTAGGAGAGTTAAAAATAATTACTTGTTCATTGTTTTAATCATAGAACTTCTATTTTTTTTAACTCTTTTGGCTGGCTATAGAATAAGAAGTGGGTCTCCTCTTTCCAAACCTATCCTCATCCCACCACTCACTTTGGTCAGTCTCAAAGCCTAAAATTTGTAGGAGAGCTTCTTGCCATGTGTTTTTGTTTGCAGATAGAGAAACCTCTGTGCTACTCTTCATGCTTGGACAGCTTCCCTATGGAAATGTGCAAAGCCTCCTTATCCACCCTTAAACTCTGATGGCAGCATTACACAATTGTACTGAGCATAGCACAGAGAAAATAAGATTTTGTGCTGAGATCTTTTGCTGTTCATTATTATGTAGGACTGAATTTGATGAGAGCTGGATCCATAATTAGTGCTAGAAGGCACTGTAGTAAGGCTGCCATTAGTAAATCAATCCACATCTAGGTCATGTCTATGAAAAATAAGACCATTGAGGAGAGAAGTTGAGTTTGCCAAATAGCAGTAAGTGTGTTTTATTTCTTACCTCATATTTATTTATTAAGCATTGTACTTTAGACTAAAAACCACAATACACTTTTGGATTGAGGTTTGGTTCTTATTTGAAGGATGTTATGAAAGCAATGCTTAATTCTCTGAGAGACATGTTAATAAACTGTTAATCCAGATATCATTGATATTCTTCAGCACTGGAGTAGGTAAAGAAATTTATAACTGTTCTCCAAGAGATTAAAACCACAGCAGTTTTCTGAGCTGCAAGATAATTCATATCCTCTTTTGCTGATTATGATATAGTTATTTTTTCTCTATGCTAAGCAATATCTACATCTATGCAAGATGTAGATGTATCTTCCATTCAGGGTTTATTTAATATCACTGTGTAATGAATAGTAATTATAGCTCTGATACAAAGTAACTTCTGTAGATTACCTTCCATTTTTGTTATCTTGTTACCTTATTTTTTCCTATAGATCGAATTAATGTTTTGTTTGTTTGGGGTATTTTTTTCCTCATTCCTTTAAGTTTGTGAAGACTTTACTTCTGTAGCTGTAGGTAATGTATAGGTTTTGTTTTCCAAAAATATCCATGGAGAAACTGGTTGCTTTGAGCCAGGAAATGTTTCTGAACATCTTGACCAGGAAAGCCACATTAGAAAAACATTTGTTTGGGAATGGACTCATAACCTTACTGTGGTAATAGGGTCAATACAAGTTTGACTACAGCTAAGGACAGCAACTTAGAAAGCTAAGTCTATGAGCTGTTTTGATCACTAAAAGGTCTGGATGCAATGGGAAGGACTAGGACAGCCAGAGTGTTTGATTTTAAGTCCAACTATGGAAACATTTTTCCTATGGCATGTATGGCTTTTCAATGTTTATTAAATGGTCTGCACCACAAAACTTCACGACAGCATCATTCTTACGACAGGCTAATCTAAAGGGTACTTTTTCCCAGATCAGAAATGGTAGGGAGAAGTCCTGTGAAGAGAATTTCTAAGTAGTTTATATAAAGACACCTGGGAAAGCTTGAAAGGCACAGATGAAACAAAATGTTTTCATTTAGTCTTTCTGCTTTTACCTCCAAGTGGTCTGTTTCCTTTTATGCAGTGTTTGTGTAACTTGCATATCTCCCATGATATTTTTTTTTTTAAGTTGGCATACTGTGGTATCTTTGTTCAGGTTAACTGTGCTTCTTAAAACATCTCTGTGTTAAGAGCAAAGTCATGCACTTGGTGTTTCTTGGGGTGTTAATCAGTGTCCTAGAAAGTCTGAGAACTTGCTGGAAACATTACTTGTAGCTAATTGTGTCAAATGTGATCTATGACACAGAAAGTAGTGTCATGAAATCCAAGGTAATTTATTAATTCATATCTTGGCAGGAGAATGTGTCCCTTGCTGATATTTTGTCACTGCGGGATAGCTGTCTTACTGAGCAAGATATTTGGGCAATTTGCCTGGAGTGTTGCCATTCTTTGAAGAGCATTGCCCATTCTGCAATCTTCCAGACACTCTGCATCACTCCTGACACTTTGGCTTTTAACACCAATGGCAATGTATGCTTCATGGAACAGCTCAGTGGTGAGTATTTATGTTTCCAGGCTGTTTGTTTTAGAACTGTGGAAACTCACGGTGAGAAACTGCAATCTATTATTAAGACTTACAATTAAAATAAAGATAAAATAAAACTTATTTGGGAAGGGGTATGTATATTTTCATGTGAAACTACATGTTCAGTTTTGTACTTGATGAACAAAGGCTGTTCTGAATTTGCTTAGAAAATCCCTCCTAGTTATTTTAGTTAGTCTTCTTTATGTCCATTTTAAACACAGAGATTGTGTACAAGTCTCTACCTTTGTAAAGCATGTCCTTTACCTCTTACAGATTTTCTAATTTCATAGGTATGTTCTATTTCTAGAGAAGTCAGTTTATCTTGGTGATTGTGGCCATAAAAAATGGAGCCATTCTATTGCATATTTGCTATTAAAAAGGAAAGTTCTCTCAAATAAAGGCTTTGTTTTTTTTAAAGCTCTCTCTTGAATAAAAGATTATAATTTTTAAAGTAATGATTTTCAGACTTACCAAGTATTGGGACTGATTGAGAACTGGATTTTAATATGTTAGAAACCAGTATGTAGTAGCATGGAAGATGTTAGGTATCACAGCAGATGAACAGGGAGATGCTTGACTTGAAACAACTTCTTGTTTCAGCTTAGACAAAAAAAGCATGTTATGGTTGCTGTTCCTTTCTCATGTAATGCATCTCAAGTTGACAGGTCTTCAGTCTCTTAATGATTTTACAGAAAAGTAAAGAAAACCAAACAGCTCTTACTCTATTGTACTTTTAAAATTATGTTGGCTCATAACTAGGAGACCCATTCTAGTCTAGATACACACCAGTCAAGTTTTTGTTGTGATTTCTCTAGTCTAATTTATTTTTAAATCTGTCAGGATAAGTGTTTATACTTTCACGCAAAATCTAGATCACAGTATTTAGAAAAAAGGTAACATTGCAACAAATGAAGATGTTTTGCCTCTTTAGAATTAAAGATAGTCTTTCATATAAATAGAACATCATAAAATATAATTAATAAAAATTCAAATATACCTTCATAATTGTTGTGATATTTATTAAATTCCCTAAAATAGACATGAGACATCTTTTTAGTTCCATATTAATAGGGTAATATGGAATCAATTTCCTTTATTTTAAGGAGCTTGTCATACCTTGAAATTAAAAAAGAAAAATAAGCTGGCTTTGTATAAGGCAAGGGTATATGAAAGACTTGTTGAAGAGCATAAATCTAATGGATGAAAAATACCCCTCAACTAAGATCTTTGCTTGTAGCTGGGGAAGAGAAAAATCAATTTCTTCTTAAATGTTTTAGTCTAATTGAATAGCTGGCAAACAATTGATCCAAGAATGCTGTATTCACATACTTAAAATGTGGAATAACAAATTCCTGTGCAAATCAAATGTGTGAAGATTTAGTTCCCTGAAGTCATGTTAGTCTCTAAGGAAAAGACTTTTCATTCATTCTCTTTAAAGAAAGGTATGTTTTCCATAAAAATGCAAAAAAAAATGACACCCGTGTTCTACTTCTCTCACGCTTCACTGTGTCTTTGGCTCTTTCTCTCAAATTTTATTACTGTTTGGTTAAAAGATTGTTGTAGGCACTTGAGGAGGTTGTCCTTTTTGCTTCCCTGCAGTTGTTGCCTATGGATTTATTCTTCCAGAAGAAAATTATAACCCCTGGATTTGCTTTCCAGTGAGAGAAAGTGAACAGCCTGTCATCTCTGCTTTAGCAGCAAGTTCTGCTTCCTTCAAGTTCTGCGGTGCTAAAGTGACAACCATTCAATAGGATGTTCTGCCAAGGGCTCTGATACCTTCTTTTCTCTTCAGATGATGCACATTCCCATTGTAAACATTATATTAAAAGAATACAGTGAGCTGTACCAGTGATAAGTTAAATACTTGTACAGCCTTTAAAGTGTTCTATGGAAAGAAAGGGAAAAGGTAGTGGGGAGATAAAAAGGGGTAGTACTCTGCACGTGAAGGGGAGGGGAGGACAAAACATCTGTCCATTAGTTCCCTTCCCCTTCTGCCTCCTCTGTCTACCCCCAAAATCAGGAAAAAATGTGGTGGTGGGTAAGAAAGGCAAAATGGGTTGCATAACCCTCTTTTTCAGTGGGAAAGTACATTTGGGTATGTCCTAAGGAGCTGTAAATGAGTTACTGTTTCTAGTCAGCCATGCCACATAGATGCAATATATGAATATCTTAAAAAACTCTTCTCTAGTAGTCTCTGCTGTATAACTGGGTTTAATAAAAACTTTACATTTCACTTCTGAAATACAGGCACAAAAGCTAAAGTTAAGATGATTTAGAATCAAAGCTAAAGTTATGATGATTATGCTGTGCCTCTCAACATACTATTTTTTTCTTCTTGTTGAGAAACACACTTTTTACATGTAAGTCATCTCAATCATCCTGACTTCCCAGAAGGATAGATTAGGTGAGTTGGATATGTATGTGGAGAGTAGGCTTTTTAGTTGTGCTCCTGTTTAATTCCCTGATGTTCTTCACTGTGTTCATGTGACATAAGTGCTGTGTGACACTGTGTACCTGCTTGAATGCAGAAACAGCATCAGACTCTCATAAGATGTTCTTTTCTTTCCACCTCCTCACTCAGAATTGCCTGCTGCAGTAGCTCAGTTCTCTGCTCAGCAGCACAAGCATGGGCAATTTACTTCCTCTACTCTTTTATCATAAGTAAAACAAGCTGAGCAGAAAGGTCAGAGTTCTAAACTGGCCTGTAGATGAAGAAGTAATGAGCAGTTCAGACTGGCTTTGCTGCTTGAATCCTTATCACCCAGGTCTGTAATGGAAAATAGTGAGTAGAAGTGTCCAGTGAATCAAATCAAACCTCTAAGCCACAGCTGAGCCACACTAGCTTAGGTGATAACTGGGTCCAAACATAAATGCCTGAAGGCAAGAAGTGGTTAGACATGGTAAATGTATTTCTTTGTGGGTGTTTAATCTGTTTTGTTTCTTAGTAGGGAAGTTATGATACCTTCTTGGACAAAGCTTGAAAACAGCACTTTACTTCCAGCAATATAAACATGGACAAAAAGTTCTTTGTACAGCATATTGTAGTGAACCAAAATACTGCTATATGAAGTTTCTTTTTTATCAGATAGAAGTGTATCATTACATTTGTATCATCAAGTTGGTTTGTTGTTTGTAAACAAGACTACTAATTTCTAATCTGGAATGTTTCCTTTTGTTTTCAAAGATGATCCAGAAGGTGCCTTTGTTCCACCAGAATTTGATCTCACCGGTAACACTTTTGAGGCAAGTTCATAAATTTATCTGTAAAGTAGAGGGGGAGGTGAATAGTTTTACTACCTCTGGCAATACCAAATGCTCAGAATTCTCAGTATATAATTTTAGAACTTCTAAAGATTGTGAGTAGTAAATGGTGCTGTTTAGACATGTTTTGTGAAAATAAAAAGTAAACTTAAAATGCCATATTAATTTTTGGCATAAGCATTTGTTCACTAACTGATAAAATGTAAGAATCTGTTTTGGCTGAATAATGTGTTATGCTAAACCACAGCTGGCCTATATTATGTTCTCTAGTACCCTTCACTGGTTACATGGGCTTGTCTGGGGACTAGCCATGAACTTTTATGACTAAATATGAAATTTGTTTGCTATCCTCTTCAATAAAATAATTCAGAAAAGGGTAATCAGCAATTTTATCTCTGATTTAATGGAGAAACAGATTACTATCTGTTGCTTTGCAATGCACAAGTGCTCTACATTGTTAAATTAAATTAGATTTAAATTGTTTATACTAATTCATTAGCCTCCCAAGTCAACCATCTCATTGCCTGCTACAGGAGCACTTGCTTGCTTAATATCCTTTTTCTTAATACACTACTTTTTCTGGCATGTATCTTTAGATATTATCTTAGATAATTCAAATGATTTAATTAGCAACACATTTAATTCAAATTATATTGATAAAATCTGGTTCTTTATAGTTTTTTGCTATAAATGTATTTTGCTTTTCAGAGTTTTAGCCTTCATATTCATGTTTATAGTTCTCTATTTCTTGATGGAGGGAGGTGGGAAGGAGGAGGAGAAGTGAACCTTGGAAGTGTGAAGTACCACATGTTAAATAAGAATGATCAGTCAGGAAGGGTGGTAGAATAGAATATGAAATAGTGCAGTCTTTGAAGGTTAGAGAGGAAAAAATTCAGTTGTTGCTATGCTTTATTATCATTATTATGTATCTACATATGCCAGCAAAGTTACAGTGATATTGTGCTCACTCTCCTCCTCATCCCCATGATGGTTTTTGGTAAGTCTTTCTTTGTGGACAAGGATTGTTAAGAGGTGGCCTGCGTTTTCTCTAAACTTGGCGACTGAGGAAGCCTTTATATTCAGATGTGGTTGAGGCAAATGAGACCCAAAATTGACTGGTTTTTGTTTCTTTCTTTTTGTTGTGCTTCTGAAGCTGTACATTTTACATAAATATGTTCTTCATCCCTTAACAATCTTCCAAGACTTGACACAGAAATGCTTACAAGGTTTGCAGAATTATTTGCTCCTTTGGCCAACTCATTTACCCCAACCCTTTTTCCTTGCCTAGTAGTTGCTGAACTTGTCTGAATAAAGTTAATAGATACATTGAAAGAGGTTCAAAGACCAAGGAGATGGAACAAGGTGAAATAGGAATTTGGGAAGACTGTGGTAATACTAAGTGACCTGAAATTTTAGTTCTATCTGATAGACAAACCCATTGTATTCCTTTTGGATAAAACACATCTGTGTATAGATTTGTTGTTTGACTCTTTCAGCAGCATGTACAGGCCCGTTAAGCCCCAGTGAATCCCAGTACCAAGCACAGCACAATCAATTAAACATTCAGTGAAAGCTGTTTGAGTCAGGAGTGGCTCCAAACATTGTCCCTTTTACTCCTTTTGTAAAGGTCTGTGAAGATACATGAAAGTACACATTTGTGTGGAAGTCAGTCAGCATGTTCTGCCTTGTCCCTTGTAACGTGGGCTGAGTGCACCGATTTCTGTACGTTGCTGCTATTTCTTAATCTAGCAAGTTGGGAAGCCTTCCAAAGCAGGGAGAGCAGTGCTGTGACAGCATCCTGTTGCCTCAGCTGTTTTTCACTGACCACCCTAGAGCAGTACACAAGGCAGAAAAGCTAGGGCAGAAATGTGTTGTTTTACTCTGGGATTTGTGTGCATTTGGTCAGCCATCTGTGGGATTCAGATTATTTGTGGAACTTTCAAAGCTTTACCTCTTACCATATGTAGAATTTGGTTGAACTTTTAAGTGCTTCAGTACCAGACCAACTTCGGCCAAGGAATCCATGGTGATCTCTGCTTGTTTTTACTTTTGCAGATCCAAGACCTTGAATAGGTTAATGCTTATGTACTTATTTCAAGGGTTTTATAATACTGTCATCTTTCCAAGTTGGTCATTTCATTCTTGGTGTTAATACTTCAAGCTCTTCTATTTTCCAAAAGTATTGAGACTTTTGTCTATCCCCTTACCCCTATTATAACCCCTTGCTATTGCAATAGCAGAATAGTAATGCTTTATATACATCTCTGGCCCATTGTGCTTTCTCAGTATTTTGAAGTTCTTTGATTGCAATAAGCTGCCCTTTGTACAGAAGTGTGAAGTCTCTTGTTTTACTGCTTGCACCTTCCTTGGGGATGACCTGACTTAGTTCTTCTTTGTTGGAGTGTTTTTGCAGCTGCTTGGTCTGCTTTGTTTAAAACAATGGCAAGTAATGTTTTTATTGAAAATGCCTGATTTCAATATAAAGAGAAAAAAATTGGTTTTAGAACTACTAATTATGTTCAGGATGATCTTTGATAGCTCTTACTCCAGTGTAAAAGCTTAGCTGATTTAAAATAGTTATGTCAGCCAGACTTTTTGCTTGATTTGAGTGTGACCCTGTTTTGTGGCTTCTAAAATGGATGCACACAATGAGATTTGTATGGCTATTGGATGACTTCTTCCTCTTTAAACCCTTTTTTAAAAAATCCTTCAATTAAAGCTACAGTTTTTTTCAACAAGAGATGTTTTGTTTCCTGCTTGGTGAATTACTGATCCAGACCTCTAATGGTATTGTGACTCCAGACTAATTAGTTGCTAAACTTAGCTGGCACTCACAAGCACACAAGGATAATAGACACAGGAAACAAATTGAAATGCATTGCTGTCTTGGTGTCTGAAACAACACTATTAAAGATGTCAGTTGCTAGTTGGAATTTCAAATAGCATGAGATCTAAAGCTTTGTCCAAATGACAATGCACAAGACTGAAAAGTAATTGATTTCATGTGGCTGGTTTTAGACTTGTGCCTTCTTTCTTGACCTGCTTTCCATTTGTCAAGTAGGGATAATAGCACCAGCTTCAGTTACTGTTGAGAGTAGGAAGGTGAAAACTAGCCCTTCAGTATCAGGTGTAAAACAGACTTTTTACAGAGAATAATGGTTACGAATGGATTAGCTGTGAAAGGGGCTTGTGGTACTGACAGTGAAGTGCAGCTGAACTTTCCATGATGACTTTAGTGCTGCCACAGTTCCATCCTGTGCACTTGGAGGAAGGATTGCAGTGTCTGAGCATCTAAAGAGACCTTGAAGTCACTGTTGCTAAGTGGATGCAGTGGCATTGAGTAGGTCAGTTCTGGTGTGTTCTCCTCTTCCAGGTGTTTGCGTGGTCACAGTACAATGACAGAAAGGCAGCCAAGCAGCTACAGCTGGGCTCTAGGACAGCACTGAATGAAAACAGAATCTCCTGCCTATCTGTTAATGTTTTGATTTTTTTTTTTTCCTCTAACTGTGCTATCTCCTTACAGACTTCCATTACCATTGTGCTCTAGTAAAAGTACTGTTAAATATTGGTGCTGAAAGGAAAGAGAGAGACAATAGGAGTTACACTTTAGAGTTATGATCCATACTGTAACTGCCAAGAAAAGGTGAATTCCTGTACAGTACACTTATTAGCATTTGCACTTCTTAATGTAGATGCAGATATGTGATGTAACTGTGCTGTAAGTTTTCAGATGACTTAAGCTGTCACTTGCCTGCATTGATGGAAATATCTCAGTTACTGCTTTTCTGCTAAGCTGGAAGTTGTGCCTGAATTTGCTATCGCAGGTATTGACTATGACTTTGTTCTCACTGAATCTTGAGCTAGAAGTCAGAGACATCTGGACTATAAAGACTAGCATCTAATTTTAAAATTTTCTACTCATCATACTGTAGAGAACAGCAAAGAATGTGTGAATTTTTCTGTTTTTCAAAGACAGGAAGAGACTGAGATGCAAAAATACTTATTTGAGGCTTCTTCTAAAATTTGCCCTGATTTTGCCTTCTAAATAAGAAGAACTTTAGCCTTTTTCCTGATGAAAATTGCTCCTATTTCATTTTCTTGCCCTGAGCAGTACAGTGTTAGACTTGTGAAATTTGACCAATGGGAGGCTCAACATGAATAGTTAAATATTGTTGAGTTCATTAATAGTCTTACTTCTATCACTACAATACAAGATTGCCTCAGGTTAAAAACACTGGCTGTCTCAAACCAGTTTCAAATAGCTATTTGTCTGCATCACAAAACTGCCATTGAGCCTCACACAGAGGTTCATTGATGTGGAACACCACATTTCTGAGATACGAGCTTTCAGTGAGATGAAGGACTGATGTCCACCATGTGTGAGCTTGCATTTATAATCTTTTAATAATGTGGCTATTCAGTTTTGCTTGTTCTAGTGAACCTTTGTTATAGAAATCAGTGAATTTTCACTCTTGTCTATTCTCTCTGAGGGAGATTGGATAATACTTCTGTTGATGACTTATTTCAGTATTTGGAGGTGATAAGATGCAGTAGTTCGGAAGCCTCAGTGTGTGGCAAGATTAAAACCTTCAGAAATTAAAAGAACTGAAAAAGTGATCAAGAGTTAAATACTACCTTGAAGAAGAGGAGGAAATATGGGTTAGTGAAGGGAAAGAAAGTAAAGTTCACATTGCCTCTTTTTCTCATCTAGAACTTGTTCTTGCTTTTATCTATCAGGACAGGAGTAGGGTGTGCTGATCTCTCACCTGTGAAAGAATCATAGCTGGAAAAGGCTGAATGCTGTTGCTATCTTTCTTAGAATGTCATGACTCTCAACTTGCAGTTCTCAGTGAGCTGTAGTTGATTTGTATTATATAAAAAAAGTCCAAGTATTTCAGCAACCTTAAAAATAAACAAATGTACATGAAGTGGTAGAACTGCTGCAAATAGAAACAATACAAGATAAAATGTTATGACATTTG